CCTCTGTGACATCCCATGTGTTTTCTTTTCCTGTCCTTGCAGGGGTGAGGGGGCTGCAGGTGAAGCAGAGGCCATCAGCCCTGAGCGTCCAGGAGGGAGCCAGCCCTACCCTGAGCTGCAATTTTTCTGCCATGGTGACCCGCGTGCAGTGGTTCCGACAGAATCCTGGGGGCAACCTCATCAGTCTGTTTTTCATGACTTCAGAAATTATGGAGAATGGAAGGTTAAAGTCAACAGTTAATTTTAAGGAACTGTTCAGCACCCTCCACATCACAGCCTCCCAGCTGAAAGACTCCGGCACCTACCTCTGTGCAGCAGAGGCACAGTGCACCCAGGTCGTCTGCAGCCTGGACCCAAACTGCAGCTGGGCCTGCAGCCCCAGCTTCTGTCACGTGCAGCATTGCAGAACAGCGCTAGGAGTCCTCATTCATGTTGGCAGTGTTTTCCTTCCCTCTCTAATTATAATTATTAATATACAATGCTGATGGGAGCACTCAGATTCTAGAAATGATGGCAAGAGTCCAGTCCATTTTCAGGCAGACAGTGGAAGAGTCTGACTCAGTGTCAAAGGTAGAGTACCACTGAGCTGGCACTCAGTAGACATCTATGGAGAGCCTACTGTGGAGTTGCAGCTGGGACAACTTACCTGTCAATGCCAGCAATATAGCTTGAGTGTTTAAGGAAGGCAAAAACCATGTTTCTACTCATGGCCTTTAGTGGCATGCAGTCCTGGAAAGACTATAATAGCAAGGTAGCTAATGTTTAGTGGACACATGCATGCAGTGAGCACAGTACAAACTTCTTTGGTATAATTTAAACTGTGCAGCACCTTATGGTGCCGGTAATGTGCTGTCCTGATTTTTTTTTTTTTTTTGTTAGGACAAAGGAAAGAAGCTTGCCGAAGTTATGTAATTTCTCAAGGCCAAGTTACTAAATGTCAAATGCAGTATTGGAACAGAAGTTCTCTGATTTCAGATCTCACATTCTTAATCCTTGCACTCTTTTTAAAAAATATTTATTTATTTGAAAGGCAGAGTCACAGTGAGAGAGAGAGGGAGTCAGAGATAGATAGATACCTTCCGTCTGTCTGCTGGTTCACTCCCCAAATAGCCACAATGCACAATGGCTGGGACTGGGTCAGATCAAAGCCAGGAGCTGCTTCTGGGTCTTCTACATGGGTACAGGGGCCAAAATACTTGAACCATCCTCCACTGCTTTCCCAGGCATATTAGGGAGCTGGATTGGAAGTGGAGCAGCTGGGACTTGAACAGGTGCCCATATGGGATGCCAACATCACAGGCACCAGCTTAACCCACTGTGCCACAGTGCAAGTCCTAATACTTGTACACTTATTGCCTTCTCAGAACCCATAGGCAAGTTATTTACAGTGATAAACCTGCAGAATGTTTTCATGACAGTCAAATAATAAAGAGCAGATTTTTGGGCAGATGTTCTGTGGGTGAAGTGGTTATGACACTACTTGGGATGTCTGCATCTCACATTGGGATGCATGGGTTTGAGTCTCGGCTTACTTCCAACTCCAGCTTCCTGTTTATGCACAGCCTGGGAGTCAGCAGGTGATGGCACAAGTACTTGGTTCCCTGCTACCCATGTGGGAGATCCAGATTGAAGTTTGGGTATTTAACTTCAGCCTGGCTCAGTCTGGGCTATTTGCAGGCATTTGGGGAGTGAACTAACATGCAGGATCTCATTCTCTGTCTTTCTGCCTCTGTCTCTATATGTCTGTCTCTCTGCCTTTCAAGTAAATAAAACAAATAAGTAAATTTAGAAAAAGAAACACATTTTGACAATTTGTAAATAGTGATTCATAAGGAAAATTTAGTTTGATATTTCCTATGAAGTGAGAATTCACCCATTATTCTCAGCTCTGCAGAATTAACCACAGCCACTTCCAGTTGGCCTCAGTGATCCAAGCAGCAGAGGCCAGAAGTAAAAAGAGGCCAGGGTCATCATGCTTTTTGACCTTTAATTTCATTTGGAATTCATTCCAATATACATTTGCTCAATCAATACTTATTTTGTAGTGTGATCTGATAGGCACTGATGCAGTGGTGGGTGATATTGTATTCTATAAAACAAAGAAGTTGCCTGCATATGCAGCTTTTTATTATACTTTGGGAAAGTAGAACAAGCAAATTACTGGATAAAAATTTCAAAATATAGGTGACATTAAGAAAATAAAATAGGGTTAACACAAAAGATCACAGTGGTCATGGGGGGTGGGTCACTGAATAGTGCCATTTAAATTTCAGAGAAATGACAAAAACAAGATGTGATGACATGGAGTAAGGAAGATTTCAAATGCAACTATAGTTCTCATGCTGCAGCATATTTAGTGTCTTTCTAACAGAAGCTGCTGTTCCTAGAATGTTAGTGAGGAGGAGAGTGGTAGGGAATGACATTCAAGAGGTAGTGGGGGTGGAGGGAAGGGGGACCGGTGGGGCTGTGGTGCAGTGTTAAAACCCTAGCCTGCAGTGCTGGCATCCCATATGGGCACTGGTTTGAGTCCCGACTGCTCATCCTCCAAACCAGCTTTTTACGATGGCCTGGGAAGGCAGTGGAAGATGGCCCAAGTCCTTGGGCCCTGTAGAAGTTACTGGCAGTGCAGTACTGCATGCTGGTGTCACAGGTGGCAGCTTAACCTGCTGTGTCACAACATGTGTCATTGTATTTTAAATATATGGATTTTAAGAAATACTCCAAAAGAAATTCAGTTTCAATATGATAAGATAAGTGTTAGGACATTCTGAGTGAATTATTTTTGGGAATTTTTGTTTTTTAGATTCTAAGATGTAGACTTGACCTTACAGGTGCCATTCAAATTTCTCCCATCCCAAGGACACCTCAATGTCAAGGTCAGAAAATTCACTTTTTAAAGAAGGGCGCTTATTTTTTCATGATATTTGTTGACTTTTACTGATTGTACTGCATGGAATGTGAAAAATTAAAAAATATAAGGTAGAAAGGAAAATGTCTTGTAATCCTGTCATACAAATAAATCAAGGTTAATATTTGGTGTTCCATATACATTAAATTTTTTTTAAAAAGTTAAGAACACACAGAATAGTATTTTGAATTATTTGCATTTAATATTATTATACCCTAACCTGAGCATCTTGCATTTGCTGATTCAAATAAAATGTAATTTTTTAAAGTCACTATTTTTTTTCTCTTGCCATCATCCATGCACATTTGTTGTGAAGGACAGTATTTCTGAGCTCAGATATTACCTTTACATAGATAATTTCACAAATGTAGGAAGTTTTAAGTTTTTAGATAAAAATTTATAGAAAAACAGATACTATCTGAAATGTCTTAGAATCAATGTGAAGCTAACTTACATTTTCCCTGTCCTTGTAATTCTTGGGTCTTAGAATATATTGAGAAGTGAGCTCAAGGATGGCTTCACCATTGACACCTCCCTGTGGGAATTTGAGACCAGCAAATACTGTGTGACTATCAGCGATATTCCATGTAATTCAAGTGAGCTCATGTACTTGGGTTCTTGCCACCATTGCTGGAGACCTGGAAAGAGTTTGAGCTCCCCTGGCAGAGCCTGGCTGTTGTGAGCATTTGGGGAGTGAACAAGCAAATGAAAGGTCTTTGTCTCTGTCTCCCACTCCACTCTGCCTCTCAAATATATAAAAACCTAAAAAAATGGAAAATGAAAAAAAGAGGTAGCACATCTTTGAAATAAGGACACAATCTCTGGACCAATGTTATACACTTGGATGAAGAACTAAAATGAAATAGATCTTATTCTAAACTCCTATAGCATAAAAACAGACATATAATCCAATGAAAAAAGAACAAAATTCACAGAAATAAACACATGCCTCTACAGTCAGATGAGTCTTGACAAAGACAACAGAAATATATGTTGGAGAAAAAACAACTTCTTGCTGGGAAGACTTCATATTCACATGTGAAAGACTAATCCTTTTGGCCTATACAAAAACCTACTCAAAATGGGCCAATGAGCTCAATATAAGACTTGAAACTTTGAAACCACTAAAGTAAAACATGGAGAACATACTTCAAGACATTGGCATAGGCCACAAAATTTTGCATAAGACTCCCAAGTCCAATAATTCCCATACTTTGTTGTCAATTCATGGCAGTAAGCCACATTTACACAACTCTAGATAATCTGTTCTAGAAGAAAGAATTTCAGTGCACATCATATTTCTCATCACAATCTACAAGGTAAATCCTTTCCTACAGTTACACTAATACTGTTTACTTGTGGAATGCTCCCCTTACTCCCCCACCTGCCTTCAATAGGTTATTCCATAGGTTAGACATTTGTACTAAGGGAGTAGTCTTGTTTTGATCCATGTCACTATCTATTTCCTGGGTTCAGTTAATTCAGGAGCAAGGCAAGATTTGGAGGAGTAAATCCTGATATATGTAGCAAAATACTTTCTTGTATTTCAGTTTTTCTGAGTAAATGTCACCTGTAGAAAGAGCTTTTCTGTGTTACAGCTGAACCAAGCTGGTTGATTTGAGATATTTTCTGGGCAATTTTAAAAGTGGGAGAGTGAAGATGTGGAAGGATTTTAATTTGCAACTACTTAGTGATCGAATTTTCTTGATTTCAAGCAACTAATTTTGTTGCTGAATAAACTTTGCAAACCATAACCGCAAATTCAATTAAACATTCTCAGTAGTGTTCTGAGAAGATGAAGTTGAATTCCGAACCCTACATTTTTACGTGGTTTATTTCTGTTATTCTATATCATTTCTGTTTGGAGACACACTTAGAATTTACTTTATGGCTTATTGCTGATTTCCATCCTACCCAATAGGTTGGAAGGGGATCTGGTAGGTGGTTTATTTAACTTCCTGCAGGTTTCACTATTATACCAAAGATACCCATCAGGACGAAAGAGGACCTGACCACCAGAGGGCAGAGCATCTCTGCTGATGCACAAGGCTGTTTTTTTTTTTTTTTTTTTTTTTTTTTTTTGACTTCTGTAAGTGCAGGTTTAACATAGAAGCAGATTCCTGTGCTCACAGTTTAGGAAACCCCTGTGCTTTGGAGGAAAGGAGGAGACAACTGACAATAGACGTAGCTCACCCTGCCGGAGCTCGCAGGTCCCGATGGGCAGAACCTTGAGGACACTTGCTGGACTTTTCTTCCTGTTCTTGTGGCTGCAGCTGCACTGTGAGTTGGGAGCTTTAGGGGAAGAGGGTGTTAGAAGTCTGAGGAGGACACTGGCCTCTTCAGGATTGCCTGAAATGACTGTGGAACAACAATGCAAACTCTGGGAATGATGACCTGGTGATCTTCTCTGACTTCTCCTTTGGCACAGGTGTGAGTGGAGGAGAGATGGTGGAGCAGAGTCCTTCTTTCCTGAGTGTCCAGGAGGGAGACGGCTGTGTTATCAACTGCACTTACACAGACAGTACCTCCGACTACTTCTATTGGTATAAGCAAGAACCTGGAGCAGGCCTCCAGATTCTTATAAGTATTTTCTCAAGTATGGACATGAAAGAAGATCAGAGATTCACTGTGTTCCTGAATAAGAAGGACAAACTTCTCTCCCTGCACATTAGAGCTGCTCATCCTGCAGACTCAGCCACCTACTTCTGTGCACAGGAGCACAGTGCTCCCCAGACACCTGCAGCCTCTACCCAAACCTGCAGTGAGGGCTGAAGAGATGCTAATTTATTTTGACCTTTGAGTTATGGATTTTTCTATGTTTCATTTATACATGTGGCCATTCTAAAATATCTTTCATGACAGGCAGCTTCCAGATGATCCATTAAGTGTCAAAACATTTTGGATGAGCTCTTGCTGAATGTTAGTTATTTTTTTTTTAAGTTATAGCCTAAGGCTTTAGAGTTGATTTACTGGTCCTATTCAGGTGTCTTCCTTCCCAGGGACACCTAGAGACCAATTTCAGAGAATGCTATGCTTAATGGAAAGGCCCTTTATATTTTCATAATGCTACTTACTGCATTTTCTGATTATGAAATTACTAACTGCATCATATGTAAAATCAGTAAATGGAAGGTAGATAATTTTATGTCATTTTTATTTTAAAAATTTTTTAAGGAATATAAATTTCATATGTACAACTTTAGGAATAGTTATTCTTCCCAGCATACTGGTCCTCCCACCTCCACTCCCACCCCCTTTTTCTCCTCCCTCTGACCTGAGTCCCATTCTCCATTAAGATTAATGTCCAATTAACTTTGTACAAAGAAAACCAACTCTATACTAAGTAAAGATTTCAACAATTTGCGCACACACGCACACACACACACAGAAACACACAAAAACTGAGAAAATGTATCACAGCTAACTCTCTCTCTTTTTTAAAAGATTTATTTATTTATTTGAAAGAGTTACACAGAGAGAGAAGGAGAGGTCTTCCATCTGCTGGTTCACTCTCCAATGGGCCACAACGACTGGAGCTGCACCTATCTGAAGCCAGGAGCTGGGAGCTTTTTCCAGGTCTCCCATGTGGGTGCAGAGGCCCAAGGACTTAGACCATCTTCTACTGCTTTACCAGGTCACAGTAGATCAGAAGTGGAGCAGCTGGGACTTGAACAGATGTCCATATGGGATGCCAGCACTGGAGGTGGCGGCTTTACCCACTATGCCACAGCACTGGCCCCACAGTTAACTCTCATAATACAACTCACTAAGGACATGCATGGGAAGTTTGTACACAGTGGCTCCTGTTGTTAACTTAACAATGAACACTCTTATTTATGATGTCAATGACCACCCTAAGCTCATGACATGAGCTGCCTAGGTTATGGAAGCCTTTTGAATCCACAAACTCCATCAGTATTTAGATCAGGCCATAAGCAAAGTGGAAGTTCTCTCCTCCCTTTAGAGAAAAGTACATCCTTCTTTAATGGACACTTCTTTCTGTTGGGATCTCACTCACAGAGATCCTTCATGTAGAATATATTTTTGTCACAGTGTCTTGGCTTTCCATGCCTGAAATGTCATGGGCTTTTCAGCCAGACCAAGAAGTCTTAAGGGCTGATTCTGAGGTCAGAGTGCTGTTTAGGGCGTTTGTCATTCTATGAGTCTGTTGTGTGGACTGCTACCCATGCTGGAACATTCTCTCCTTTTCAATTCTATCTACTATAATTAACCCACACTTGATCCTATTCATATGGTCATTTTAATACTTGATCCTATCTATATGTTCACTTTAACACTTAATATGACCACTTTAACACTTAAGATGACATTTTTACCATCCAGCTTAACGGGGTTGGGGTCCCATGACAAGTTTTTAAGCTGTACTCTTAGAAGTGAGTCCTTTGGAATGTATGCAGAACTATATAGCTTTACAGTAACAAACTTCCTCCTCCCTCTCTTATTTTTTTACTGAGATCCACCCTCAATTGACTTTTTTAAAGATTTACTTTATTTATCTGAAGGTCAGAGTTACAGAAGTGGGAAGGATGGAGAAAGGGAGAGAAGTCTTCCATCTGCTGGTTCACTCCCCAGGTGACCACAATCGCCAGAGCTTAGCAGATCCGGAGCTAGGAGCTTCTTCTGGGTCTCCCACATGGGTGCAGGGGCCCAAGCACTTGGGCCATCTTCCATTGCTTTCCCAGGCCATAGTAGAGAGCTGGATCGGAAGCGGAGCAGCAGAGACTCGAACCAGTGCCCATTGGCATGCTGGCGCTGCAGGCTGCAGCTTTAACTCACTGTGCCACAGTGCCAGCCCCTTCAATTGATTTTATACATTTATAATTAACTCAATGTTAAGTAAAGAGTTCAACAAATATTATGAAGAGAAAAAACTGAAAAAACATTCATTCTTCAACTTTACTGAACTCTTCTATGAGTTTCAGTAGTCTCTTAGTGGATTCTTTTGGATCCCCTGTATATAGAATCATGTCATCTGCAAATAGGCATAGTTTGACTTCCTCCTTCCCAATTTGTATCCCTTTGATTTTTTTTACTTGCCTATTGGCTCTGGCTAAAACTTCCAGGGCTATATTGAATAGCAGTAGTGAGAATGGGCATCCTTGTCTGGTTCTGGATCTCAATGAGAATGTTTCCAATTTTTCCCTATACTATAGGATACTGGCTGTGGGTTTTTCATAAATTGACTTGATTATGTTGAGGAATGTTCCTTCTATACCCAATTTGCTTAGTGTTTTCATCATGAAAGGGTGTGTATTTTATCAAATGCTTTCTCTGCATCTGTTGAGATAATCATATGGCCTTTGTTCTTCAGTTTGTTAATGTGATGTATCACATTAGTTGATTTGCAAATGTTGAACCATCCCTGCGTAACAGGGATAAATCACAGTTGGTCCAGGTGAATGATCTTTCTGATGCACTGTTGGATTCGATTGACTAGAATTTTGTTGAGGATTTTTGTGTCTATATTCATCAGGGAAATTGGTCTGTAGTTCTCTTTCATGGATGTGTCTTTTTCAAGTTTAGGAGTTCAGGTGATGCTAGCTTCATAGAAAGAATTTGGGAGGATTCCCTCTGTTTTGATTAGCTTGAGAAAATTGAAGTTAGTTCTTCTTTAAATGTCTGGTAGAATTCAGCAATGAAGCCATCTGGTCCTGGGCTTTTTTTTTTTGTTGGGAGGGTCTTTATTACTGATTCAATTTCCCTCTTGGTTATGGGTCTGTTTAGGTTTTCTATGTCTTCATGGCTCAATTTAGGTAGGTTGTACGTGTCCATGAATCTATCCATTTCTTCTAGGTTTCCCAGATTGTTAGCATACAACTCTCTGTAGTAATTTCTGATGATTTCTTTTTATTTCTGTGGTGTCTGTTACATTTCCTTTTTCATATCCAATTTTATTAATTTGGGTCTTCTCTCTCCTTTTTTTGTTAGTTGGGACAATGATGTGTCAATTTTGTTTATTTTTCAAAAACCAGCTCTTTGTTTAGTGTCGCTCCCCCTCTTCGTGGAGGAACGACACTAAACCCTGCCTGGGTTTCCTATCCAAGTCACGGCACCATTATGTCGCTCCCCCTCTTCGTGGAGGAACAACACTAAACCCTGCCACTTTGCCCACTTCCGCGGGGGAGCGGCACGCCGCCGGCCGGCTCTCTCGGGGGCTGCACAGGTGTTCCTTCAGATAGATGTTCCTGGTGCATGTTGTCTCTCTCCTCCTTTATAGTCCTCTTCCACCAATCCCAACTCTGCTACCTACATGCCTAGCACGCTGCTCTCCTCCAATCAGGAGCAGGATCAGCTCCTGCAGGTTACTGGCTGAACTGGAGGCAGCTGTGTAAAAGTTTTTACTCCTCTCCCAGCGCCATATTGTGGGAGAGCAGATGCATAGAATAAGTCTTAATTCCAGTAACTTAGTCTAGTCTGAGTTGCTCCCCACAGTTTAGCTGATAATTTTTTTGCTTTTTGATTTCAACTTTGTTAATTTATTATGTAATATTATTTATTTTCTCCTACTAGATTTGGGTTTGGTTTGCTGTTGTTTTCTAGATCCTTGAGATGCATTGATAATTCATTTATTTGGCGCCTTTCCAATTTCTTGATGTAGGCACCAATTGCTGTAAACTTCCATTTTAACACTGCTTTTGCTGTTTCCCATAGATTTTGATATGTTGTATTGTCATCTTCATTTGTTTTCAGAAATTCTTTGATTTCTTCTATGACCCACTATTCATTCAGGAGCATGTTCAGTCTCCATGTGTTTCCATATGTTCTAGAGATTCTTCAGTTGCTGATTTCCAGCTTCATTCCATGTGGTCCAAGAAGATGCATGGTATGATTTTGATTTTTTTAATTCTCTGAGACTTGCTTTATGACCTAGCATGTGGTCAATCCTAGAGAAAGTTCCATGCACTGGTGAGAAGAATGTGTATTCTGCAAATGTAGAATGGAAAGTTCTGTAGATATCTGTTAGGTCTATGTCTCCCTTTAAATCGATTCACATTTCTTTTAAATAACCTGGTGCCCTGTAATTAGGTGCATAGGCATTTATAATACACCTTCCTGTTGAATTGATCCCTTAATCTTTACATAGTGCCCTTCTTTCTCTCTTAACAGTTTTTGTGTTGAAGTCTATTTTGTCTGATATTAAGATGGCTATGCCAGATCTTTTTTGGTTTCTATTGGAATGGAATTTTTTTTTACATCCTTTCATTTTCAGTCTGCCTGCATCTTTGTTGTTGAGATGTGTGTCTTGTAGGCAGCAAATAGATAGGTTTTCTTTTATCATTCATTCATCCAGTTTATGTATTTTAACTGGAGAGTTGAGGCCATTTACATTCAAAGTGACTATTGATAAGCAATGACTGCATTGCCATTTTCCCAGAAATATTCCTATTTTTTTACTTTGGATTTCATTTTTATCTTTATTGGACAATTTTCTTCCTTTACCTTCTTTTGTAGTGATGATTATGTTTCTGTGTCTCTGTGTGTAGCACATTCTTAAGCATCTTCTGCAGGGCTGGACAGGTTGTGACAAATTCTTTCAATTTCTGTTTGTTACAGAAGATATTTATTTCACCTTCATTCATAAATGAGAGCTTTTTGGGGTATGTTATTCTGGTTGAAAGTTTTTTTCTCTTAAGACCTGGATTATATCTCACATTTTCTCCTACCTTTTAGGGTTTCTGATGAGAAGTCAGCTGTAAATCTAATTGGATATCCTCTGAAAGTAATCTGGAATTTCTTTCATGCACATTTTAGAATGTTTTCTTTATGTTTT